CCACTGAGCTAAATCCCTGGCCCCGAGGCTGGCCCTTGAAACCAAGCTGACAGTCTCTTTTTATTGATAGGTTTAATTATTTGTATTTCATGGCAGCCCTTTTCCTTTATGTGTCACTTGTTTGTTTTTTCTTATTTACTTGCTTTGACATTGATGTTTTAAAATGATTTCATTTTATCTTCCCTATTTGGTTACTGTGCAGATCTCTTAACAAATCTTTAGTGATTATCCTCAATCTACAATACCTAACTTTGAATGATGATGTTATACATTCAAATAATACAGTATCAATTAAGTGAGTTTTTAAAATTGTTCTGGTTTTTTTCCCCCATTTGCTTGCTTTGACATTTTATCTTCCCTATTTGGTTACTATGCAGATGTCATTTAAAAAATCTTTAGTGATTATCCTCTGTATACAATACTTAGTTTTGAATGATCACATAATATATTCAAACATTATGATATCCTTTAAATAAAATTTTTAAATCTTGCAACACTAAACTCTAAATTATTATCTTCCACTTTTTGTGGTATTTTTTATAGTTTCTCTAAGGCTTTAACATTGCCCAAGCAGATTTCTTTTACTTGGCACCTGGTATCTCCTGCCTCTGTGCTACTACTGAGGAATACTTTTTGTAATGTTAGTCTAGTCTCAAAGAGGGAGCCCTTTCCCACAGCCTGTGAAGTGGCCTTTCTCCATGAACATGCCCTTCCCCAGGAGTTAAAGATCTTCAAGGATCCTGATCCCGAAATCTATACCAAACCGAATGGACAGAGTTTTAAATTTCTCTTTTCCTCTTCCTCAATAATTCTCCACCAGGGACCCTAGGAAGACAATTTTTACTGCTCTTTCTGTGATGATTTTAGAATTTTGTTCCTTAGTAGAAAATGGTCTGTGGCTGCACACTACAGACAAGTTTTCTCCAATCTCAACTCCTGCCTCCAATCTTCTTCCTATTCACGTGACAGATGTTCATGGAGAAGAGTCTGTGATGGGTATGAACTTCTACTTCACTCTGTGGTGCTCAAGGATTTTATGTTTTCATACTGGCCTACACTCGCCATTTATCACTTTTACTAACTTTTTAAGGAATTCGCACAAGAATGGTTACATCAAGCACCTGTAAGAAGAAGCTGAGCCAGTGTTCACATCTTGTCTCTCCTCTAATGGCTTGTCTTTCTTTAGATTTCAGAGTGGTCATTCACCAAGCCAGTGGAACAAAGGCATCTACCTCGCATGGTGCCTTTTGTCATTCTTGTCTATCTGAGGGCAATTGATTCATTTAAAGCTCAAGATACAGACACTGAGTTTTGTGTCAAAAACAACATTTATCTCCAAATTCAGGCCACAGTACAAACATTCCCTATTCCTGGACTCTGCCCACCCCCAACAAACAATTCTTCATCCTCAACAAACATATGCAGGCTTGGCCTACAAGCATCTGCTGTAAAATACACCTGTGTTAACTGTTTCAGGCTCCCAAGACTGCCTGGGACTCTCACTCAAAGCTCTATGTGCTTTTTCTGGGGTGGATGTGCCACTGCCTCCTTGGCTAGAATCTCGGCCCACATAGCCACTTCTTTGTCTTTCAGTTTCTGGGCATGTTGGGTTTTGGCACCAATCTGCAGGTATCCTTCCTTCTGGTCGTACTCTGGCCAGTAGGGCAGTCCCTCCCCATTGGGATTCCTGGAAACAGAATCAAAGAGAAATTCTTGGAAGAGCTCCATTAGCCTCCCATTTGTTTCTGCCACTTTCAACTTTCCAGTGGCTTATCTCTCCAGAGACCTATGCACCTCCAGAGACAGGGACAGGCCCATCTCCTCGAGCACCTTGAGCTTTTACAGAGAGCTCCCACTGTTACAGTGCTATGATCTCAGGGTCCGGCATTTGATTACTCCAGTTGTAAAAGATGCCCCATTCCAGCAGGTATCACAACCACAAACCACCACCAATTCCTTTGCATTTCTACCATCAGCCTCACCCAGTCCGAGCAAAGTTGGCCCAGAATTTCATCATCATCCTGCTGATGTTTTTCTCCTCTTCTGAGGCACCCTCTGTTCAGAAGAAGTAAAACACAAAGAAACCCTTTAGTACTCAAAGTGTGGTTGGTTGGGACACCAGCAGTAGCAGCACATAGGATTCTTAGAAATGCAGACTCTTGGCCTTTATTCCACACCTACAGAGTCAAAACTCTGCAGTTTAATAGGATTCTGAGCACCTTTTGCTGAGCACCTTAAGCTTGAGAATCATGTATATAGGACTCACCCATGGACCTGAAGTCCATCCATAGGCTGGCTATCTTTGTCTTTTGTGTCTACCTCTTGCCCTAATGATTACAATGGCACACACTAGGTTTTCTTCTAGTTTATAAAACTGCTGGATGTTTTATACATTTTTAATTTCCTATATATGTCTACCTTTTCATAGAGTCTGAAAAATATCAGACCTGAAATATCACTGAAGTGGGAGATGCCCAGAGGAACGTGTGGGTAAGGAATAGCCCTGAGGTGGATCACAAGTCAAATTGAAGGATTTAATAAATTTGCAAAAAAATTTCACTAAATATTCTATCATTAAATATATAAAAGTTAAATATATGCATTTTGGTTAAATGAAATGACAGACAGATGGGCACATATGACATCTGACTCAAGGTTAGTCCTATTTTTAACCATCTCCTCAGTAACAGTATGATAGACTCTAGTGAGTAGGAAATTAAGCAATAGCATTTTTGCCCTTGAGCAAAGCCCTGCAGAAGATCCAATTCATCTCTCATTATGTCACAGGGCAGGACTGTGAAGGTGACTATAGCTGGGGCATGTAAGGACATAATTTCTTTCATGCATGTTAGAGCAGGAGAAAGGTTGTTCTCTCTGCCCAACATAGTTTGGCCCTGTGATATGTAATTGGGAATTGAAGAGCAGGAAAGAAGCAGAAACTTGCTCAAGGTCATCAACTCAAGACTACTTGGTCTCCTAAATCTAAGCTCATAGCCAGCAAAGAGTCATTACCTATTAAAAATGGAAACCCAAATACTGAGTAGATCTCATCTCCATGGTCTCCTACCACCGTCTTGGGTTTCAAGGGTGATGAGAAGCTTGGGCGATACTGGAACTCATACATGTAGGTGGGGGCTCCAGCATCTAAGAAGACATGGATCGTGCATGATTTATGGTACTGTATACACATTTGACTAGACTCAAGTCTCTGGTTGGGCAGGAAATCCATGGTTATCATCATAGGACAGAAAGAGAATTCCAGGAAAGATTCTTGCTAGGCCAGGCTCACACAGATGGTTGAGCTAGAACTTGGATTTGAATCACATGTTTATTGAATGAAAGAATGAATGAATGCAATGCACCAATCAACCCACTAGATCTATTTCAGTGAGAGCCCATAGTGCTCTTTCATGTCAAAAATATCTACAATCTGGTACAGGCTTTCTTCATCCTACTTTTGAACATTTCCCAGTTTTTTTCTCATGCATTCTGAGGCAAGTGAACCAAATCAAACAGCTTTTCAAAAAATGAGGATACTTAAATACAAATATAGGGGCATAGGGAACAATCTGTCTGTTGTGTTGCAATCTGTCTGCTGCAAACTGCAAAAATTAGTATGTCATCAGACACCTGACATATCCTGCTTTTTTTTTTTGGTACCTGGGATCAAACTCAGGTCCTTGCGCTTTCGGGGCAGATGGTGGAAGCACTGAGCTAAATCCTGGGCCCCATAACCTGCTTGATTTCTTGGGCCAGTGAACATTAAGGGACTGAGTTAATAATGTGCTGGTAAAAAAAAGGAAACGCATAAGAGAAGGATGACTTTGGCTTCTATTTTTCCCCTATTTTTTGCCATGCTTTCTTACCAAAGCAAATATCTCCAAGCCCTAAGATGCTACATTTTCTGCTGACTGGATGATTAGAACCACCAATTCCTACACCTATAGGACTCTCATGGACCCTACATTTGTGGAATTCAGCATGTAGTATCAACCATATTGCCCACAGAAAAGGAAGACCAAGAGAAGAAAGGTCAAGTTCCAGTCAGACTGGTGGAGTTTTCTATTCTTCTCATGAATACAGTATGAAAATGTAAACATGGGCTGGGAATTTAGCTCAGTGGTGCTCCTGTCTGCCTTGTAAGCAGAAGGTCCTGAGTTCTAGCCTCAGTACAAAAAAAAGTAAAAATGAAAAAAAAAATAAGCAAAAACAATTTGCTGAAACTTGTACCTTTCCCAAACATTTTTGAAAGAAACTCAGAATCCAATACTAAAGAAAACAATTCTGTGAATGGGAGAAATTATTTTAGGCAGCATGCAGCCTAACATTCTTTAAAAAAAACCTTTTGCTTAAAACCAGTTAGATTTATAAATTTCCTATAGTCACAAGTCTTCAAAGGAAAGAAGGCCATAGGTTTAGGAAGTGGCAATTACAACCATAAGAAAAGCAGAAACAATGGGAAACCATGAAGTTACCAAATATTTGCATAATAGGAGATGCAGAAGAGGAAATGAGGAAAGGCCCAGAAGGCATATTTCAAGAAACTATGGCTGAAAACTTCCCTAGATGGGAATAGATGCCAAAATGTAGATCCAGAAAGCAGAGTGGGCTCCAGTAAATTTCACCAAAAAAAGAACACCAAAATTAGAGAATAATGACATTTTCAAAAATCAAAGACAAGGGAAAATTATGAGGAGAGTATCAAGAAATAAGAATCATATCACATCATATCACATGCCACATCATATCACATACAAAGGCATGCCTATAAGACTAGCAGCAGATTTCATAGCAGGAATTCTGATGCCAGAAGAGAGTTGGATAATATAGTTAATGCACTAAAGGAAAAAATATCTGCCAACATAGAATACTGTAGGTGGGAAAGCTGTCTTTCAGAAACGAGGAAGAAATGACAACTTTCCCAAACAAGCAAGGGTATAGGAATTCATCCCTTCTAGACCTACCTTATAGGAATTACTAAACAGAATTCTCTAAACTGTAACAGAAAGATAGTAATTAGTAATATGGAACATATGAAAGGAAAAAACTTAATTCATAAATAAATCAGAACCACATTTTGGATACTGTAAGAATAGAATGACAATATGTACAGGAATTCTATCATCAGTATAAGTTAAAAGAAAAGATCTTACAGAAATAGTCAAAATAAACCATCAACTATAGCCTACACAAAATGTGATCATAAAATGATATACATTTTCATATCAAATATAGTTATTATATGCAATCAAATTTAAGATGTTATCAGTATAAAACAGACTGTTGTAAGTGTAAGGTGCTATATAGAAACCTTATCATAATCAAGTAAAAACATTTAGTGAAATCACACAAACAACACACACAAATGAATCGGATTTAGAAGTATAGCACTACAGAAAATCATCAAATGACAAGGGAGGACAGTAATGAGGAAGAAATAAAAAAAGTATTTACAAAACAACCAGAAAACAATTCATGAGATTAGAACATTTGTAAGTTCTTGTCTCTCAATAATTACCTTGAATATAAATCAATTAAATTCTCCAATAAAATGACACAAATTGACTGAATGAACTTTTAAGTACCAATAAAGTTAGTTTTTTAAAACATGAAATGACCTAAGTATTTATGATGCCATTCAGTATATAAGAGACACACCCCACCTTTTAAGACATACATAGACTCAAAGTGAAGGACTGAATACATTATTATACCCAAGTGGAGACCAAAGTTGAATGGAGGGAGCTACTTATAGCAGATAATGGAGGGTAACAAAAAACTGTAGGAAGAAAAACATAGACATTATATTTTGACAAGGGGGTCAAGTCAATAAGAGGCTATAACAAATTTAAATGTATTCACACTCAACATCTGAGCACCTAAAGAGATAAATTAAATGTCAAAGGATCTGAGACTAAGAGATATATTATCATACAATAATAGTAGGGACTTCAATACCCCATTTTTAACAATAGATCATCCAGATAGAATATTCATAACGAAGCAACAGACTTAAACCACAATATGGATCAAATGAACTTAACAGAAATACGTAGAATATTCAAGCCAACACAAACACAGCACAATCTTCTTGAGCACAGACAAAATATTCTCCAGAATAAGTTACATATGAGGGCACAAAACAATCCCCACCTAATTTAAGAAATTGGAAATTATACCTAGTATCTTTTGAAACTACAAAGGCATGATACTAGAAATTACAATGGGAAATTTGGGAAAATTCAGAAATTCATGAAAGTAAAGCATCATGGTCCTGAGCAACTAATGAGTCAATGAAAAAATTAATAAAGAATATTTTGAGATGAATAAAAAGGGAAGCATAGAATACCAAAATTCATGGGATACAGCAAAGCAGTTCTAAGAGGAAGGTATATGTCAATAACACATATCAATAACACCTACATCTACAAAGAAGAAAGATGTCATACAAACAACCTAATGTTTGCTTTCAATTAGCAAAAGAACAAATCAAGTTCAAAATTACTAGCAGAAATGAAACAATAAAGATCAGAGCACAAATGATAAAGAGGTTATAAATATATACAAAAGATTAAGGCTTAAATTCTTCAAAACATACACAAAACTCACAAACCTTTAAGTACACTAACCAAGAAAAAGAAAGCAGACTCTGCCGGGGATTTAGGTCAGTGGTTTCGCCCCCTGCTGCGCAAGCACAAGGACCCAAGTTCGACCCTCAGTACCAAAAAAAAAAAAAAAAGTTGACTCAGATAATACAAAAAGTAAAAATGGACGTTACCACTGACACTAAAATACAAAAGATCATGAAATCACTAACATCACATGCACCCAAATTTGAAAACCTGGAAAAAAATGAATAAATTTCCAGTCCAATATCACCTACCAAAACTGACCTAAGAAAAATTAGTCTGAACTGATCAACACCAGGTATGGAAAAGTAATCAGTGATGAAAAGTCTCCACCAAAGAAAAGCCTAAGACCGGATGGTAGCACTGATGAATTATTGACAAAATTTTAAAAACTAATGCCAGTCCTTCTCAGTTTCTTCCAAAAAAGCAACTAATAAAGGTATCTTCCCAAAAGAATTAAAAGAATCATACCACAGCCATATATGTGCACCCATGTTTATAGCGGCACAGTTTCTAATAGCTAAAGCTTGGAACCAGCCCAAGTGCCCATCAACTGGAAAATGGATAAAGAAGATGTGGGTTTTTAAATTTTATAAAATGGAGTACTACTCAGCCATAAAGAACGACAAACTAGAAGGATTTATAGCTAAATGAATGCATATTGAGGTGATATTCTTAAGTGAAAAGAATAAGACATACATGTGCAAATACCAAAAAGTGTCTCTGGTGTGAGAAACTGAAAGTGTAAATAAGGATTAAAATGAATAATTGATAATGTGAAATAGGAAGAAAAATTCCAATGGATAGAGGAAGTGGGAGGGGAAGGGGAAAGGAAAGAAGGGAAAGGAAAAATTATGAGAAAAGGAAAAAATAGAAACAAAGTCTTTGTAAATAGGGAAGGGTGGAGGGTGTGAAGGGAGGACAGGGAATGGGGAAAAAATAAGAACCAAGATACATCATGTACAGGTATAAGTACCCAATGATAAATGTAAATGTGTTTTATACCTAAAATGTACCAATAAAAGAATTTTTTAAAAAAGAATACTTGAAAAGTATTTGATGAGGTTTTTCTACACTGACATTAACATAAGACAAGTATATTACAAAAAGAAAGTAACAGTTTAATATTCTTAATAAACACAGATGTAAAAATCTTCTAAAAATGCTAGCAAATTGAGTTCAAAGTGCATTAAGAGAATAATCCACTACAACCAAGTAGGGTTTATCCCTGACATGCAAAAATTGTGCTATATCATGTTATAAAATTAATGACTGAAACACGATCATCTCATTAGATGCAGAAAAAAAAATAAAACCCAACATTTTTCATGAGACAAATCTACCAAGATCAGGATAAAAAATGTATCTCAACACAAGAAAGCCCAGATATGAGAAGTCCACTGCTCATAGTATTCTCAAATGTGAAAAAATTGAAAGCCTTTTCTGTAAAATCTGGAATACAAGGGTTCTTGCTCTTACCACCTCTGGATTGAAAGTCCACACCAAAGCAATTAGGCAAGAAAAAGAAATTAAAAGTGTCCAAACAGGATATGTAGATCTGAAGCAGTCACTTTTTGCTGATGACAATATTTTTGAAGTACAAAATCCTATATACTTCACTAACATTTGTTAGAACAAATAAAACAATGAATACAAAAAAGTAAGAAGATACAAAATGAACATGCAAAAATCCATAGCATTTTTATATTTTTAACAATAAACTCTCTAAAAAGGAAATCAGCTAAACAGCCCCATTTACACTAGCTATAAAATAAAAATATCTAGGAATAAATGTAACCCAGATGGTGTAAAACCTGTACACAGAAAATTATGAAATGTTAATGAAAGAAACTAAAGAACATAATTAGATGGAAAAATGTTCTATGCACATGAACTAGAAGAATTACTATTGCTAAAATATCTATAATATCCAGAACAATCTGTCAGTTAGATGAAATCCTTCTCTGAATTTCAATGTTATCCTTCAAGAAAATATAAAACAATCCTCAAAATCATATGAAATGAAAAATCTCAAGTCACCAAGGCAATCATGAACACAAAGTATGGAAGTGGAGATAGCATACTGCCTGATTTCCAAAAAATATTACACATTAGAACTTCATGGTATTGGTATAGACACACACAAACACACACAGACACACACACACACACACACACACACACACACACACACATACACTCACACAGCCCAAAGAATAGGATACAGATCCCAGAAATCAATCCAAGCATATACAACCAATTTTCCCCAAATGTGCTAAGAATATGCACTGAAAAAGACAGTGTCTTCAAAAAGTGGTTCAGGAAAAACTGGGTTCCTATATGCGTAAAGATTGAACTGAACTATTATCTGATACCATATAAAATCAAATAAAAATAAATTAAAGGTTAAAACATACCATCAGAAACTCAAAAACAGCTAGAAAAAAACATAGGGGAAGACTACATGACAATGCTATTGGAAACTCATTTTTTGACTTTAACTCCAAAAGTGTAAGCAACAGAAGTAGAAAACAGACAAATGAAATTTTCTCAAACTAAAAATTTTGTCACAGGAAGGAAAACAATAGTATAGGAGAAAACCTTAAGATTGAGAAAAAATTTATGCAAGCCATACATGTGTTTATTAAGCAAAATGTATGAGAAGTTCAAACATCTCAAGTGCAAGAAAACAAAACAAAATAACTCAATTAAAAAATAAACAATGGGCCTAAATTGACATTTCTTAAAAGAATACATGCAAATGAACAACAATTGCATCATAAAATGTTCATTATTAATAGGTATTGAGAAAATGCAATAAAAATCACAATGACATATCATCTTACCCTGGTCAGAATGGCTCTTATCAAAATATTAAAAAATAAAATGTTTTGGCAAGGTTGTGGAAAAAGGAACACTTTTGCAGTATTTGTGAATGTAAAATAATCTGGAGATTCTTAAAAAAACCTAACAAAAGAATTAGCATATGATCCAGTAATCCCACTGCTGGGTATCTCCCCAAAGTATTTGAAAGGAGTTTGTTGAAGAGCTGTCTGTACCATGTTCACTGCAGCACTATTCACAGAAGTTAAGTTATGAAATCAACCTGTGTCTGTCAACAGAAGAGTGGGTAACAACAATGCAGTATTATATACAAATAGCCATATGAAGAGAAGTTCTTTCATTTGTGACAACATGGATGAAATAGGAGAACACTATACATAAAATAAGATAGGCAGAGAAAGACAAATATCACATGTTATCACTGATGTGTGAATCCAAAACAAAACTCATAAAACCAGAGGGAAATGTGGTGGTGATTTAGGTTGATGTGAGGGATAGAAGGAGATGATTTTGAAAGGGCACTAAATCACTGAGAAATGTAGGTTTTTTTCTTCTTTAGTTCCATTGCACAGTGTGGTGAATATATTTAAAAACAAAGTATTTTTCAATTACATTTCTTTTTTGTTTCTTTGTTTTTGTTTTGTTTTGGGGGGTTTATTGGTACTGGTGATAGAACTCGGGTCCTCCCACTGGCAGGACAGGCGGCTGAACCACTGAGCTAAATCCCCAGCCCCTCAATTACATTTTTAAGAGAATAAATGTTAGGGCTTCTCACTATCATAAATATTGAGCAATTGGAAGATTGGTGTGTTTATCAGCTTGATATAATCATTCTAGTTGGCATCCATAAATCATACTGTAATTATTTAGTTTATATTTATAAATCATAATATCATAAAGGTGTACTATATACAGTTATAAAAATATAATTTGCCAACTAAAATTTTTTGTATTCTCACTCTTTCTTGTTCTCAAAATATCTTATTGTATTCACCAAGGTGCCAGAAATGGTTTGCAAGGAATTGAAATTACACAAAATGAAACAGTGAA